TTAGAATCAACACACTGATGGGAAACCTGGGTGACTCAGTCAGTTAAGTGTCTGACTCTTGGCTTCGTCACAGGCATGATCTAATGGGTCATGAGATCAAGCCCTGTGTAGGGCTCCACATTCAGTGGGGAGTCTGCTGGAAGATTGTCTCCCATTGCCCCTCCCCCTGCTCTTTCTTTCTTTCTTTCTCTCTCTCTCTCTCTCTCTGAAATAAATACATAAATCTTGTTTTGTTTTGTTTTTTTAAAGAATAAATCCACTGGGTGTATTCTTGAACATTAGGTACTCTATTTAAAAAAAATAAATTGCTGAATCAATGTGCTGATATTTGTTTAGGATTTTTAATTCTTGATATTGGGTATTTGGGTTTTCTTGATTTTAATTATTTTTAATCATCCTCAGGAGAAGTTTTCCAAATAAGATAACATTTACCAGTTCTGGACATTACGATGGGGAAATATCTTTTTAGGAGCCACCATTCAGCCCACTATAGGCACATATGAGTTAAAATGTTTATGTCTTCCTGATGAATTAAATCCTCTCTAACTTTAAGAGAACCCTCTTTATCTAGAGAAATATTCATTATTTTTTAAATTCTTAAAGTCTATTTTACCTAATGGCATAAGAGCCATGGGTTTTCTTTTTTGGTTAGAATCACATGGTATATACTTTTGAATCCTTTTATCCAACCTTTCTGGATCCTTATGTTTTGGATGGATCTACTATGCAGAACATATAGAAGGATTTTAGAAATCTATTGCATGATCTTTGCTTTTTCCTGGAACATTAATTAATCCACTTAAATTTAATATATGTTAGAGTTTAGATGTATCATTGTTTTGTTGTACTTTCAATTTGTCCTTTATTTGTCTTTTCTTTTTCTCTTATTTATTGTCTTATTTTGTGTGACTGAATATTTCTTATCAATCTTTTTTTGTATCTTCTTGTTGTGAAGTGAAATATTCTGTCTCTTTTTAAAGAGCTATCTTAGAAATCACAACCTACATATTAATTTATTGCAGTATAGACTTAGTATCTTTTCTTTTCAAAGAGTTGGTGTCTGAGGATTTGAGAAAATAGAACTCAACTCCTGTTATGTAGGATTCTCAATCCTGTTAGAATAGGCTGGATATCCATCCATAAAAGCATGAATAGCCCTTTGGAGCGAGAAAAATACCAAAACTTTAGTTTGATAATTGTACATTTATTTACCCTTTCCTGCTTTTTGTATATTTATGTTGAATCCAGTTTTACAACTTCCTTTATTCTTATCTTAACTTTGATACTTTTTCTGGTCCTTTTGGCTTGGCAATACACCTGACTTTCTTTTTTTAGCTAATGGGTTTCTGATTTCCTTTTTGCTTCTGCAGTTTGATCATGTCCCTGAATCTGTGGTCTTATACTACATCAAACAGCCTCTGTCCCTTATTGTAACTCTGATTGGTGAGGCCCTGATCCCTCAGCCTGGGAAGGAAGATACAGACTATTATAGAAATGTTACTTTAGGGAGTATTATGAGTTAAATAGTGCCCTCTTCAAATTTATATATTGAAGTCCTAACCCTCAATACCTCAGAATATGACCTTGGAGATAGGGTTGTTGCAGATATAATTGATTAAGATGAGATCATAATGAACAGGGTGGGCTGCTAATTCATTATAATTACTATCCTTATTGAAAGGGGAAATTTACACACAAAGACACACACACACACAGAGGGAGAATGACATATGAAAATGAAGACAGAAATCGGGGTGATGTTTCTTTGGCCAAGGAACACCAATGATCCTATCTAGCTGACCTCCAGAAGCCAAGAGAACATCCTGGCTCATAGCCTCAGAAGGAGCCAACCCTGATAACATTTTGATCTTGGGTTTCTGGCCTCCAGTGCTGTGAGAGAATGAATTTCAGTTGTTCGAACCACCCAGTCTGTGGTACTTTGTTACAGAAGCTCTAGCAAACTAATATAGGGAGATAGCATGAGTTATAGTGAGATGAAGGGTAACTAAAAATAGGGAAAACCCTTTCAATTTAGGCCAATAGAAATTATAGGGACGTGGATTTGGGATTCAGTACTTGTTAGTACCTTTGACCTTCTCATTGCTCTCAAACATTGTTTCCTATCATGACCCTTCATTATTGGTCACTCTGCCTCCCTTCTTCTGCCTCAAATACATTTTCACACCCATTTGCATCCTGCCACGCGTGTCTGTTACCCCAGCAAAGATACATTCCGGCAGATGCACCCCTAGTTCCCCCAGTTTGAGGTTCTAGAGACCTCTGATGGCTTCACATGTATCCAGGGGTACAACCACTTTTCCATTCTAGGATATCAAAGATTACATGGACCGGGAGAGGCAAAGGTAGAACTACTTTATCTTAAATGCCCTACCTTCCCTCCAGGCACAAAGTAGAAGAGTGATTTTATTATGGATTTTCCAGTGCAAAACATTTTCTGCACTAACTAGCTCAGTTGGAGAACTTTGAGATGGTTACCTGGGAGAGTGTCATCTCATTCATTGACGGGGAAAGATGCCAATGGAATAAATGAGACATGTTTTGTTGTTCTTTGCCTTCAAGAAGGAAGCCAGAGACAGAAGCCCCCAGTTCAGATCAAGCCAAGGCTGAGAATCAGTGCCATCTGTCATCATCTGAAGCCACACGGGGTGTCAGTGCTAGGGCTGACCCCACCAATCCTCACGGGCTCTTCCCTGGCTGTCTCGTTTTAGAGAGGATTTATATTTTGGAGTCTTGCTATAGATTACTTCTGAGACAGATGAAAGGAAACAGTTTATAATTGCTTAACGTGTGTGCACAGGTCAACATATCTGCCCAAATTATCTGCCTTCTTAGGAATCACAGTTCTCTGGAGATTTATAGAAGGCCCTGGGTTTCAATCACAGTATTAAATTTAGTGACCTTCAAGGGAAACAGGGAGCAAATTATAGCTTCTTCAACTTGTTCATGCCAGGAGTTGGCCATTCATCCTGCTACCAGACAAATGAACATTGTAGTGACTTCTGCCTGAAAGAGTAGCGAATGAAAAAAAAAAAATTCTGGGCAGTGAAGTTGAGTTTGGACACGCTTATGATCTAAAATTAAGTCATCCAAAGATCCTAACGTCAAACTCTTGGACTAACTCTAACTGAAAAACAAGTGAGTCCTGAATACTTTTGAAGATCTAAAAGTGCATGTATATCAGTAAATAAAATTAGAAGTTAATTTCTTCAAAACCTTTTATGTAAAACACCTCAGAGGCTAAAGCTTGATTCATTATTAAAAATAATTTTATTTCTTGCAGAAAAACCTTTCAAGTACCACTGTGATGCACTGTGGGGCTGTATATTACCCTCCACTGTTTAAGAAATGCAACATCTCAGGCTGTTACGGTGAGCTATCCCTTCTACCATGGATGTTTAAACTTTTCCTATTTTCTCTCTTACTCTTTATTAATGTCTCTGGACCGCCTTCACGGTGGCTACTTAATCCCCAGCCAAGCCTCTGTCTGGTGCTGTCTGGAAACAAAGAGTGACTTTTAAAAAGCAGACAGTAAGTAGACTGGGTGGATTTTATCTACAGAGAAGCACCTGACACCCCTAGTGTGACCAGCAGAGCCAAGGTCTTTAAGGCTCTCGGCTTCCAAATGGTACGGCTCCGAATGAACATTTATAGCCCATTTCTGAGATTGAGCACCTTCCAGTACTGGGCAGCATATTGGTCCAGCAACTGGGTCACCTGCTGGCCACTGGACAGTTATTTTGCCAGATGACCTGCTTTCCATCATGCGGATTCCCCATGGTTCTGTAGCTGTTTGGCACGTTCTGCACATGACCAACTGGGAGATTCAAGCTTCACTTCTTGTGTTCCAAATAAGTCATGGGTACATTTACAGTTTGGAAAGGAAAAGCAAAAACGCAAATCCCAGTGGAAGAAATTACTTGTGAGATCTACCGACTAAGTAGCTCAATACAGTTCCTATCTGTCTCAAAGAGCCCCCACAACAAACCCAAACCAAAAAACAGAATTAAAGTGCTTTAGAGTTGTAGGTGGTATTGTTTCTTTGTCAATTGCAAGCTTTTAAGATTGTAATGTCCTCCAAAGGCCACATTGGCTGCTCCCACCCCTGACTGTTTTGTCTAGCCAGCTCAGGCCATCAGACGATTAAGATAACCTCTGAGTCAATAAAGGTTTTCAGCTTGAGTTTGGACATTACTGCAACCGGTTCCCAATTAGGAGGACGGGAGAGTGCACTCTCCTCTCTGAACCCACACTGTTGGAACGTGGTTTACCGATCTTGGCTCAGATGGGAAGAGTTTAAACTTTTTTTTTTAAGATTTTATTTATTTTTTAGAGAGTGAGCGAGAGAGAAACAGCATGAGAGGGGAGAGGGTCAGAGGGAGAAGCAGGCTCCCTGCTGAGCGGGGAGCCCGATGTGGGACTCGATCCCAGGACCCTGGGATCATGACCTGAGCCGAAGGCAGATGCTTAACCATCTGAGCCACCCAGGTGCCCCGGAAGAGTTTAAACTTTTATTCACCCCTGTGTGTGGAGGCCCTGAGAGACACCAGTCCCTGAGAGAAATGTCTCGTGTTCCATTGCCTTGCTGGCAGCCACAGGAGTCCCAGTCAAGGATTTAGCTGCTGCTTAAAGACATGTCTTAAATCTGACCTCCACCTGGAAAGAGAAAGCCTCTCTCTCCAGCTCCTCGGATGCCACCAGCCCAAGCTTGAAAGGGAGACGGTATCTTCTTTCAGCTCTTTCTCATCTTCTCTCCCACTTCTGGGTCTGGGACTCTCTTTAATTAATGGGTTCCAAAATTAGAATCCAAGAGTAATTCCTCCGCCACACCTCATATGACACAGCGGTGTGCTTTTCTGTTTGGAGGGGGTGATGCCATGTATGAGAGGCAAATCTTTTATTGGGAGCTCCGACTGGATGTGCACGCTTGCTACCCAGCGCACTTACATTTGTGCCCATCTGTTTGCGTGGCAGGAGGCCTTTGGAGGGTGGCATAAGCCAGTTCTGAGAAGGCTCATTTGCCAGTGGAGGAGCTGGTTCAGCGGCGCAGCCTGCAGAACACAGAGTGTGCCAACATTCCTGCCAAGAGAACCTTCTGTTTGGCAACAGTACCTGAACCGGGCTGCATGCTGCTCTACAATGGGCAACATCTGTTGATGGGAAGCTGGCGTGATGTGCCCTCAGTGATCGATCCTGCTGCACGCCGTCACTCAACTCCCTTTACAACAAGCTCACGGTGAATACCTCATTTAAGTAAGCGAGGTTTAACATCACTTATTCATGGTAGAAATACTTATCAAATGCCTACTATTTGCAAGTCATCGTGCTAGCTATTTCCGAGTGGGTCTAGATGAATTTGACGTGGATCCTAGCTTTAAGAAGCTGATAGCAACAACAGAAATAGGCATGCATATAGAGCATTGGTTGACTTGAGCGGAATGGCATAAGCTAAATACAAACACCCAGAGTCAGAGATGTGCTGTTGAAGCCTGGAAGAGGGAAGAAGATGCTCAGCTGAGGGGCTGGAGAAGAGGGGTGTGCAGAGAGGGCCTTCAGGGTGGGAAGCATTTGCACCTGTGGTTAGAGTGGGAAGGGCCACTGGAGCTAGAGGGAATTACGTGCTCAGGAGTGAGAGACTGCTTGAGTGGAACATGGGGTGAACCCAGGGAGAGGAGAAAAAGGAGGTGGAAAAGAGATTCTGAGGACAGATCACAGGAGACCAAGACATCGGGATGAGTGTTTGGCCCTGGAGAGCTGGTCGACAAGTTGGAGACAGAACTATGCTGCCTCTGGGGTTTGGGGAAGGACTGGGGGGGGGGGATGGGAGCTCGGTGGAGAGGCCAAGCTTGGTGCTGAGAGCCAAGTTAGGGCCATCAGAAGTTGTCACTTAACCAATACTTATCGAACTCCTTTTTATAGGCTCCTTATGTGGACCATGTCATATCTGGCCCCTCCACATGGGCAGGGAGATATATTAAGAGTCCTTTACAACTCAGTACCATGGGATCAGGGCAAAGCTATAGGAATTCCTGCAGAAATCTGGGAACCCAGGGAAGGGAGGGACACAGAAGTAACCAAATTCCTGAAACATTGCCCACAGAATAGAGGACAGAATGACCTTCAGAACTAGGTGTCCTGGTTGTATCCCACCAATGTGGCTTAGGGCAAGTTACATCATTTTTTCTTGTCTCATTTGTAAAATGAGCCGAATCATGACACCCATTTCGTAGGGCTACTGTGAAATTACATGGGTCGGTGCATGTACTGTGCATGCAACACGCTGGCCTCCCGCGTCCTATCAGTACACGCTGACTCCTGGGTTTGTGTGGCCATGCTGCAGCAGACAACCAGAGGGTGTTTCACTAAGCACCTGTTGGGTGAGGCTTGTGACACTCAGGTTTAAGTCTGATCCATGTGTCTCCATGGTCCAGGTCCCAAGGGCACCTCCTACTTGAGACTTGTTCTCGTGGCAGAGAACAGGAGTGCTGGGTCCAAACAGTGTGCCTTGACTCTGTGTACATCGCATCTCCTCCTGCTCCACGGCCAAGGCCAACGCCAGTGGGGCAAGGCAATTTATTCTTCCCATGGAGGTGGGGAGGGGATAGTGGATATTTGATAAATAATAACACAATATGCCACATCTGTCATGGACGTTTTCTGAGGACGTAATGGAACTAGATTGAAAAACGTTAGGCAGGTGTGTTAACTGCAGGTAAAAACACAAACACAAATGTAAAAAGGTAAAGCTGAGCAAGTTGTGACTAAGTGTTATAACGAATGCTCTTAATTTGGAGCGAAATTGGCATAGTATATCACAAAAAGCATTAAACTTGCAATAAGGAGTCCCAAGTTCCATTGTGTCATGTTGGTTAAGATGCTTACAATTTTGGGGGGTACTCTGTCATTTCATTTGCAAAAAGGTGGGAGCTAGATTAATTAATCTCAAAGTTCTCTTCCAATATTCTGCGATTCTGTGAAAACTAGCCACAAAGAAAAAGGGGTGGCTGAGATAGGCTTTTGGAGGGACAGAAAGTGTCTAATTCAGTGGAAACCTTTATTGTTAATTTTGGGGGTTTATTTTTTGATATAGACAATAATAAAGAGTTACTATGGGCTCTTGATTTGTGGAGAAATACTCATACGGGGCTTACGACATATTTACATGCTCTGTGTTGGACGATGTAGGTGATGCAAACTTGAGCGTGTTTCAGAATCACCTGGAAGGCTGGCTAAAGGCTGGGATTGTTTTGTTCCACCCCAGAGTTTCTGATGCAGTGGATCTTGGGTGAAGCTGAGCAATTTGCATGTCAAACAATTCCTGGGTGGTGCTACTGCTGGTCTAGGGACCATACTTTGAGAACCACTGGTGTTGGGGATGTCGGTGCTCTGATATCCTCCACCACAGTCTCACCCAACCCCCTGCTGCTCTGAGTATGACTGCACCCCACAGCTGTCCTGTCTCTGGAGAGCTGCCCTTGGCTAATTGAACCCTCGGGAGGGGGGTGGGGTAAGACACCCCACCCATCAGGTACACTGACTGTCAAAGGCTTGCAAATGGCTGGTGCCCTTGTCTCAAGATGGAATCAACTCTATCTTGTCATTGATTCTCCAGAGCTTCCCTGTGTCATTGAGTTCCCAGATTCAAGCTGGTCTCTGGCTGGGAGTGTAATTTTTGTGAGCATTCTGCCCCTGCCGTATCAGCTGCACCTACTCCCCGTTCTCCTGAGAGGACCCCCTTAATCAGTCACATGAACAAGAACTCTCGTCTCAGACTCTGCTTCTAGTGAACCCGACTTCAGACAGATGATCTCAAGCTGAGAGAGCCCAGAAGCAAGGAAGCCTGGTCATAGGGTGTGTCAGGGGTCTAGCCATTAGGAGTCAAGGATATAATTTTGTGGAAGCAAAAATGGGACAATCCAAAGAACTTTTGTTTAAAAAAGTCTAAAATAGGGCGCCTGGGTGGCTCAGTTGGTTAAGCGACTGCCTTCGGCTCAGGTCATGATCCTGGAGTCCCTGGATCGAGTCCCGCATTGGGCTCCCTGCTCGGCAGGGAGTCTGCTTCTCCCTCTGACCCTCCCCCCTCTCATGTGCTCTCTCTCATTCTCTCTCTCTCAAATAAATAAATAAAATCTTTAAAAAAAAAAAAGTCTAAAATAGATCCACTCACCACGGGTAATGTTTTATGAAAGATTACACGTGGGGCGAAGGAAAAGATGTACAGATGTTTCCAAGTGGTTGAAGCCTGATGCCTGTCAATATGATAAGGCTCTTTGTAATAATGAATGATTCAAAAAGTTGTTTTGAGAGAGGAAGATCAGCTTGGATTTCAGCTTATGAGATTTGTGTGTTTGGGAGAAATCCATGAGCTTTCCTACAGGTACCTACATAAATGGAACTTGGGTAGGGGGTGGGGTAACAGGGTGATGGATATTAAGAGGGCACATAATGTGATGAACACTGGGTGTTATATGCAACTAATGAATCACTGAACACTACATCAAAGACTAATGATGTACTATATGGTGGCTAATTGAATTTAAATAAAAAAAATAAATGGAACTTGAGAGAGGGTGAGTGGTCATAGCTGGGCTATGCATTTAGGAATCATTTGTAGTTTGACATTGGGGTTAGTGCTGCTACTGGGACATTCAACAGGAAAAAGCAGAGGGTCTGGGACAGAAATTTTGAGGTTGTCCTCAGTTATACCTGAGGGAAAAGCTGACTTCGGAGGAAAGTAGATACAGAGAGAGAATCTAAATAAGATGGAGGGTCAGTGAGGCAGAAAAATGTGGCCCCAATTTTGTCTTCAAGTTGGCCAACTTAGTTTGGCACATATTGAAATATTTGTGTAATGAAGTTCTGAGCCCTCAAGAAATTTTAGGGTCTGTAAGCGGTGTTCATTTTTGTTTGTTTGTCTTTGTGTGTGTGTGTGTATGTGTGTGTGTAGTGATTGGTCTAGACATGAACAAACATTTTTCTTTAAATGTGATTTCCCAGCAGAGTGAATAAATATATTTAGGGAAGGTGAATGTTGATCATTTTTGCAGAGAAGCTAGGCATGCACAGATGGAAAGATGTGGGAAGGTTATGGTCTTTGTTCTGGCCGTTTCACTGATCCTAAGAGGGAAGAGAGGCATGTGACAAGGTGAATTCATAGAAGAGCAGTGTTGGGGAGGCATAGAAGGCATGACTTGGGGTTTGTGGGACACATATTGTGTGGGGGACCCTGTGCCAGCCTCTGAGGGGGAGTCCAGGATGCTTAAGTTGTGCTCACTGCCCTCCACGAACTTGGTTTCTTGTCCAGGAGAGACAGGGTCCTGGATATGGAAACGATGTACCAGAGGCTTTGGAGATAAGTGCTCACAGTTTTGGGACTTTGTCAACTTCACACCATTTCTCTCCACTTGCGGTACCTGTTTTCCTCATTCAAAGACCTTTGCTCTCTCGCCCTTCATTGGAAATCTTCTTGGTTCATATAAAGCTCATCTAATTATATTTATGTCTTCCCCTCTTTTTTTGTTCTTTTAAAAAATAGTTTATTGTTTCCATTTTCTTGCTCCTCCCTTGCAGTAATTGGTCCCAGAGTGAAACATTATCCTCCAGCTTATGCTAATAAATGAATAATATTTTTTCATTTCTTCTCTTAGATTTTATTTAGCATCTGACATTGCCTCTCATGTTTCTGTTTGGTTTGGTTTTATTTTTGTTCTTGTTTTGGATTATTTTCCCAGAATGTGCCTCTTTATTTCCCAGGAAATGCTCGACGCTGTTATCAATAATTATTAAGTCCATTAGTAAGCCAAATTAAAAAGAATAACAGTAATAATCTATTGCATTTGGATGACACTCTCCAAGCATTTTCTCATTTCATCACTTGCTGTGGCCTTTAATTTAGACTGAATTTGCAAATTCATTTTAGTTTGGCTTCAGCCTCTCTTCTTTCTCCCGTTTTGCTCTCCTGTGTGATGTCTAGTTCCTGTCTGTCACATTTCTGAAGTACGTGAGGCTCAATTCTACTTCAATTAATGCACCATCCTCGGCGCCTTGCGTCTTTTTCAAGTTTGACAGCTAAGTCACTTTGAATGTCTTTCTTACCCCTGGAGATGACTAATGTTACTTCTGCCTTCAAAGGGGGCTTCTCCAGAAACTAATTTCACTTGCAACTAATTTCTTCAACCACTACCATTAAATGTGCACTGGATGGAAAGCATGAGTCTAGGTTCTGTGGGAGAGACA